AATTAAAATCAGAATGCATCAATCATAATACTCGTGGCTTCTATTTTGCCTCAAAATTTTAAAGCTTCGCTATAAAAGTTACTTAATTAATAGTTATAAGATTGTTAAAATTTAAAAACAACCTTCTAATATAAAGACTTTGTAACCTCTCATTTTACAATTTTTATTTGTAAATATCACGTGGCAATTATGTAGTAGATCAATTAAACCCCCGTTCGTCTCTCATTTTTTCGAAATTCATTTCTACATATTCATTTTCGATCACATATTCATATTATAAAATATTTTATATGTTTTTTTTAACAAAAATGGCCACCAAACAAGGGCTAAGGTGCGATTGTAGTTTAAGAGACAATAGCAACCGAATGGGATATATGTCATGTTTGATAGGAATTAAAATCTAAATTTTAATGTAAATCAAAAGTTATGATTAATTTTAATCCATATTTCATGCGATATGTAATTTTTCAACTGCACATTCTATCAACTTTTATCAAAATCTACTAAAAACTGATTTTATTCTAGGCATAGTGATAAAATTCAAAACTAAATTGAAATTTAAGGATTCATTTGAACAAGTCAATAAATTCGGGTTTGTAAGATTCCAAAATTATAGCCCATATTTGACTCCCTTTAAATAAAATAATTAGCTCGTGTTTTTCTAACATTTTTTCAAAACTTTTTTTTCTACATATTTATTTTCAACCACGTTCACATAATAAAATATTTTATACTTAAATTAAAATTTTTTCATACTTTTTAACCGCGCATTCTCCAAAAAATCACTATTTAGAATAATATTTAAAAAAAAATGGCCACTAAATAGGGGCTTAATTTCTCATTTTCAACTACCAAGTCATACAATAAAGTAATGTTCACATAAATTCAAATTTTTTTTCTAATTTTTAACTTCACATTATTTAAAAAATCATTATTTAAGAAATCATTCCCGCGCGACCCGTGACCCGCATGGGCTCGACCCGGATGGGTCAGCGGGCGGGCCTGGGTTGTAGTCCAAAATTGTGGGCCGACCCGTAACCGGCCCGGAACCCGTAGCGGGCGGGCTTTTTTTCACGCGGGCCGTTACCGGGCTCACATGTTGGCGGGCCGACCCGGCCCGGATTGACACCTCTAGTTCCAACCTTCAATCTTCTTTCGGTGTTCTTTAAAATTGATTGATTTAAATTAAGACGTTGCATTGTATTACTAATATTGTGCACAACGTATAATTATTTCTTAAAAGACAGAAACATTCGACATTTAGCCTTTGTTTGATTTCCATTATTTTGAAAAAAATGAAATTTTGAATAGTGATTTTTTTGAGAATATGTAATTAAATAGTAAAAAAATTCTTCAATTTACGTCTAAAATATTTTATTGTAAATGTGTAATTAAAATTAGTATGAGAATTAAAGAGTTTTGTTTTAAATTAAAGAGCTTATTCAATCATCAAAAACATGCAAATTAATTTAAACATCACGAAAAAATATCATTTATTTGACAGGTAAAATGTCAATCGTGAATTAAAATCAGAATGCATCAATCATAATACTTGTGGCTTCTATTTTGCCTCAAAATTTTAAAGCTTCGCTATAAAAGTTACTTAATTAATAGTTATAAGATTGTTAAAATTTAAAAACAACCTTCTAATATAAAGACTTTGTAATCTCTTATTTTACAATTTTTATTTCTAAATATCACGTGGGAATTATGTAGTAGATCAATTAAACCCCCGTTTGTCTCTCATTTTTTCGAAATTCATTTCTACATATTCATATTCATTTTCGATCACATATTCATATTATAAAATATTTTACATGTAAAATTAAAACACTTCCATACCTTTTAATCAAACATTATCCAAAAATTCATTCAAAACAATGTTTTTTTTTTTAAACAAAAATGGCCACCAAACAGGGGCTAAGGTGCGATTGTAGTTTAGGAGACAATAGCGACCGAATGGGATATATGTCATGTTTGATAGGAATTAAAATCTAAATTTTAATGTAAATCAAAATTTATGATTAATTTTAATCCATATTTCATGCGATATGTAATTTTTCAACTGCACATTCTATCAACTTTTATCAAAATCTACTAAAAATTGATTTTATTCTAGGCATAGTGATAAAATTCAAAACTAAGTTGAAATTTTTTTTTTGAGAAAAAGGAGTTCATTAATCATCATAAAAGCAAGTTACGGATACAAGGAGGAGTATCCTCCAGCACAATTCTCTCCTCGGAGAGTTGAAGTGCTTCCTTTGCTAAAATATGAGCAACCACATTCACTTTCCTAGGTACATGACTAACAGACCAAGAATGAAAATATTCAAGTATGCTCCTCGCGTCCTGAATCAATAGACCTGGGTAGTTCCACAAGTCAAAATCTCCATTCAATCCCTTCACAACATTAAGCGCATCTCCCTCTACCATGATCGACTGCAGTTCGAGCTGTTTACCAAGTGATACAGCTTCCAATACTCCTAGTGATTCAGCTAAAAACTAAGTTGAAATTTAATGATTCATTTGAACAAGTCAATAAATTCGGGTTTATAAGATTCCAAAATTATAGCCCATATTTGACTCCCTTTAAAATAAAATAATTAGCTCGTGTTTTTCTAACATTTTTTCAAAATTTTTTTTCTACATATTTATTTTCAACTACGTTCACATAATAAAATATTCTATACTTAAATTAAATTTTTTTCATACTTTTTAACCGCGCATTCTCCAAAAAATCACTATTTAGAATAATATTTTTTTAAAAAAAATGGCCACTAAATAGGGGCTTAATTTCTCATTTTCAACTACCAAGTCATACGATAGAGTATTGTTCACATAAATTCAAATTTTTTTTCTAATTTTTAACTTTACATTATTCAAAAAATCATTATTTAAGAAATCATTTTGTTCGCATCAATAATGTCAAACACTGGCTTATAAAGTGGGATGCAAAGATCCAATTAGGACGGCGGAAAGAGAAAGGGATAAGATTCAATGGAGAAAAGCCAACCCAATTAAGAGACCCGTTCATACAACTAAGAGCCAGTCAGTGAGGTTGCCCGTTGCCCGTTGCCACTTGCCCGTTAATCTCATTCGCCTACCAAAAATTGAAAGTAGAGAGAGAACATGTGGAATTCGCGTGTTTGACCGTTGACACGATTCAGTCATAGAAAGACCGTGTCATTGGGGAAATATCTTACGCGACTTACTTCCTTACTCGCAGTTCAGGTACGTTATTTGCAACTGCTTTCTTTTATCCATTTTTTTTTATAAACATAACATAAATACAAAAATTATTAAAATAATGTTTTAAAATTGATAAAGGCACTGTTTTAAAAAACGCACCAAAGCTTGGAGTCTTGACTCTTGAAAGACCGTTTTTCTCCTAAAAAACAGGATTTATCCTAAAAGGCAGGAATTCTCTTGAAAGGCAAGGTGCAACATGTGTTGACTTGCTCGACATTTTGGCAGATCAGTGGAGGGGGCTCTTGGACCCGGCTAGTTAGGGGCACATCCCGCGATTTACTTTGCCTGCGTTTGAGGGGTCAAGGCGTAGACATCAAGATTAATCGCTGAAGGTGAATACCTGGGTATAAAAAAAAAAAGATGGAAAAAAACATTGATCATCTGAACAAAAAAATGTACATCATTTTATTTGACGATGGTATTCCATTTTTATTTTTAAATCCAACTCTACAAAAGGTCCAGCCATAATTAAAAAAATATTTATAGTTCAATAGTATAAAACAACCAATATCTTAACAATTACCTCTATCGGCACAATTTTATTTTGTTATTATGTATTCTCATTTCTAAGTATGTCCATGTTAGGTCTTTATTTTTTAAAATTTATTTTTCTCCAAACTTGCTTTTCAACAACACATTTTATGTGATCACAATTTTTATCAAATTTTAAATTATATATTTCATCAATTTTTATCAAAACCTACTAAAAATCTATGTTTTATCAAAACCAAACCAAGGTTATATATGACAAGTTAATTAAATCAACAATTTATAACAAAATTGAAAATTGTATCCGTTTTAAATTTAACTGTAACGACCCGATATTGCGCCAGAGCAGTTATTATATCGAACGTACTGTCCGCTTTAAGAGAGTCTAGACACGTCAGGATTCGAACCCAAAACTTCGATCATATGTGAGACTTTAGTTGAATCCTGGTATTAACTGATAATGTTTCAGAAAGTCGTGAGGGGTAAGATGTGATAGATTTTCTCAAAACGGACAGTACGTACGATATGATAACTACTCCGACGCAAGGTGTGATCGTTACATTAACTTCATCTAAAAATATGCTCAGTGAATATAAAAACGAATTTTAAAAAGTGTCATTTAGCCCATGTTTGATAAGAATTAAAATCAAATTTTTAATTGATTTTAACAAAGAGTAATACTATTTTTTATCATGATAATAGAATATCAGTGATTGTCTATCCATTACACTTCACATTTCTCTCTCTCATAAAAATTAAATTGTTCAATCCCATTATTCGACATAGACACCACTTCACCATTGGTCCATCATCATAATGATAAATAACATTATTTTTTAATAAAATATGTGGTAAAAAGTTGAGAGTTCCATGAAATATGTGATTAAATTAATTATCGACTTTAATTTTAATTTTCACCAAACAACTTAATAATTCTTCTTGTTTACATATCACAAATTTGTACAATTTTTGCCATCACAATAATTTATCTAGATTATTGAATAATATTTTCAACAAATAAAAATACTGACAATTTCTTCCACACGTGAAGCGTAACGGTCATTTCTGGGAGCGTGAAACCAAGAAATTGTCTTGTATTGTTAAACGACGACGTATGCGTCTATTTCAATCCCAGCACCACAATATAAAGAGATTTCTTCTTTACGCATCCAAAAAGTTCTTTCATTGCACAGAGAAAAAGAGAAAAACCAGCTAACGGAAACAAGAAGAAGAAGAAGAAGAAAAACTAAAAAAGATTAACCATGCCTTGCGCCATAGCCGCAGTATCAAGCTCCCCAATATTCTCGCTGTCGCCACGAAGAATATCACCGATTTTCTGCAAGCCTACAAGTTCGCCGCCGCCGCCGTCTCTATCTCCGTCGCCGTTAACCCTGAAACACTTCAGGAAACCGTTCAACACCAAGGATGAAAGTTTAATAGAAGAAGATGAAGCGACATCAAAACTAGCGGCTTTGAAGAGGAAACGACCGGCGAGGATTAATATTCCGGTGATGGATATGGGTTTCGAAATGATGCCGGATTTGGATAGGTTGAGTGAAGTGGAGGTGGAAGGAGAAGGATATTCTTTGTATTGTAAGAGAGGTAAAAGGGGTGGTGCTATGGAGGATCGGTACTCTGCTGTTATGGGTCTTCAAGGGGATTCTAAACAGGTTAGTTTTTATGAACAATCCATCCATTTATTTTAATTTTATGGGAAATTTTTATTTGCTTATAAATAAAGAACTGATAAAATAAAACTATTGAAAAAAAAAGGTTTATTAGTCTGTGTTCTCTTTGCACTTGAAAGGCAGTTAACATTCAATGAAAGCTGGAAAAGAAAAGAAACTGAATTGGGTGTATTATCAAGAATAGAATCTAAATTGGGGGTTTCGATTTCAGGCTTTCTTTGGTGTCTTTGATGGACATGGAGGTGCAGGAGCTGCAGAATTTGCAGCAAAGAATTTGGATAGGAACATTATGAAAGAAGTGGAAAGGAGGACACGTGAAGAGGAAGGAATTGAGAAGGCAGTGAAGAAGGGATACATCACCACGGACATGGAGTTTCTCAACGAAGATTTGCGTGGTGGGACTTGTTGTGTGACAGCATTGATACACCAAGGGAATCTAGTAGTCTCAAATGCGGGGGATTGCCGTGCTGTTATGAGCCGAGGAGGAGATGCCGAAGCCCTCACAGTTGATCATAGGCCTTGTAGAGAAGATGAAAGAGAGAGGATCGAGAGCCTGGTAAGGATCAGTCTTTCTTGTCTATATGATAATTGTGACTGGTATTGTTTCTGATTGGTTTTTTGAAATTGCTTTATCTAGGGTGGCTATGTGGATTATTGCCATGGTGTTTGGAGAGTACATGGATCTCTTGCTGTATCAAGAGCAATTGGAGATTGCCATCTTAAACAATGGGTGACAGCTGAACCGGTGACTAAAGTCATAAAGATCATACCAGAATACGAATTTCTAATCCTTGCTTCTGATGGACTCTGGGATAAGGTAAAGTAAATCGATGTAAACTGTTTAATTGATTTAGTTGGTGAAACTTTTTTAATGGAAGTGATAAAATGCTAAAAATGCTCTTAAACTTCCTTTCAGGTTAGCAATCAGGAAGCAGTAGATGTTGTCCGTCCTTTATGTGTCGGCATTGACAAACCAGAACCATTTTCTGCTTGCAAAAAGCTCGTTGATTTGTCATTATCAAGAGGATCTGCAGATGATATTAGTGTTATGGTGATTCAATTAGCGCACTTCATTCAGTAACTTACGATAAGAGTAAATTAGAGGGCATAGTGTTTCTAGCTTATTCATGTAGATCCTCGAGTGTCTCCTGGTTAATTTATTGGCTAGTTGTTGGAGTTCTAAGCTTACACCAGCTTCGTCTTGTACGTGTTGGCCATTTCACCTGCCGAGAAGGGATTTTGCCAGCAGCAGCAGCAAGGGAAGGGTGTTGATACCGAACACATTTTTTTGCACATTCTAACCTAAGGAACGATAATTTTTTATAGCAGTAGAAAATTGTATAACTTGTTCGAATAAAATTTATATGCAGCCTTCAACTTTACCTCCTCAAATTTGGGTTCTTTTGCGATATCATCAATTCATGTGAACAGCAGATGGATCAATAATTCAAGGTTTTGCAATTTTGAAACAGCCATAAGCTGTTGGTTCATTGGAAAGGTTCAGGCTTGAGCTTCAAGCCCGATTTCTGGTGGTGCACATCTCGATGTGGAGTTGTTGGGGTTGGGGGGGTTTCGGGAATAAATTTTCAAATAAAATAATTTTACACGTAAACTCAAAAAAATTTCTTACTTTTTAATCGTACATTCTTTAAAAAATCAATATTAAAAAAAATTATTTTTCCAAAAAATGGGCTAAAAAAAAAATACTATATCACATCAAAATTGAAAAATTGTTGTTTGGGCAAAATTTCCAGTTAACTGTTTTCAAATCAATGCCTTCGGTGGACTAACGGTCCTGTTTGACAGCTGTGGAAGAGAGGCCTTTCGCTAATTGATATACAAACTACAAAGATCCTAGGAAAATTCCTGCGGGTGTTGGGCCATCGTTGCAGCATCTCATTCGCCTATTTTTTTTCATCTTCCAATGCATTTTCGCCATGTGTTATATGTCAACAAAATCTGTCAAACTTACCTATATATGTCGCATGATTCAAGATTCTAAGTATGTTTCACGTCTAACCTTTGTTCAAGATTCTAAGAATGTTTCACGTCTAACCTCTGTTTGGTAGAGGCTAAAATTGATTCTCAAATAAAAGTCAATAATTAGTCTTAATCATATATTTATGAAATTCACAATTTAAACCATATATTTGATCAATTTTTATAAAAGAATCTTATTCTGACCTATACCAAATAGAGCTCTGCTATTCAAACAGGGTTGGGGACAGAGAATTTAAACAGGGGCCGAGGTGGATGCACTTCAGTCATTGATTTGAATGCCACCTCAACCCTGTTTAAATTCTCTGTCTCCAGCCCTGTTTGAATAGCATGGTAGATGTTTTCGAGTAGCATTAATCTACCAAACAGGGGCCTAAGGTCATGTACATTGGACACTAATACACGTTCGTATGGATATAGAAATTTTTACTTCTAGTTGTGACAATCGACACGATTTTCTAATCTCTCATTTACCAAAAATAAAAATAAATTATTAATATCAACGAGTTCTAATCTCTCATTTACCAAAAAGTGCTAATTATAGTGCTATCCCGACCTTTAACCCATCACAATCTTGTTTTGAACTTTTTCTTCTCGTGATAAACTCAAAATCAACCCTTACTGAATTATTGGATTCCTATTTTCTATCACTATTAGTCCAATATTCTGTTAAATGGATGTTAAGGTCAAAAATGATTGTTTTGATTTACTTCAAAGATAATAATTTGTGCCACGATTCATGAGTGGACCAAAATGTTGTTCATAATCTTCGTACATTGGCATTAGTTGTACTCACTTACCACGGCGAATTACACACTCCCATCACCACAACATGCTATCTCCTAAAACATATTTGTGTTACAAGAGTAATAAGCTCTTATTTGATTTTATTAAGAATCACATTTTTAATAGATTCCAATAAAAGTTGATGAGCCCCTGTTTGCTTCCACTACTAAGGAGAATTTATACAGTTGCAGCCAGAATCTTTGACCAATTTGTGTGAGAGTGGGCCCCACTTTTTTGAAAATAACGGTCAAAAAAATCATTTCCCTGTGAAATTAATGTGAAACAAACCGGGGCGAAATATTGTGAGTGAAAAATTGATAAATGTTGTGAATATTATAAAATACTTAATTAATTATGACTTTGACTCGGAATTTTTATCATTTAGTTTTATCAACACCAAACAAACCCTAATATAATTTGAGAGCATAATAATCATTTGCTGCGTCAATTAAGCCCCTGTTTGGGCTATGTTTTTTTTTTCATTTTCATTTTTTTATTCATTTTTAACCACACATTCTCCAATAAAATAATATTTTCCATCACATCAATAATTTTTTTTTTTCAACTACACATTCTNGAATTTATTGAACCTTCTATCAATTGGAATGACTCGGTTTCCCACTAAAGTGACTTAATAAATGAACCATCAAGCATGATGTGCCATGTTGTAGAGTGTAGTGAAAATAAAATCGACTAGGACACATCTGATAGTGACGAAGATAAAACAGTTAAATCGTTGAGCCAAGAGGTAATCTGCTACAGTCAGCAGCGAACCCAGCAAAAAAGTTCAGCACGGGCGAAAACAGAACATAAACGGAAAAAAAAAATAAAGGAACTGAAACAAAAACAAAAACGGAAAGCCGAGAAGAAAGGCCAAAACAAAAGGTCAAAACTAAAAAGAGAAAAAAAAAAAAGAAAAAGACTCAAACTTGTATAAATACCAAACTCTCTCAGCCCAAAACAAAAGGACCAAAATAAACTAACTTTTTGAAGCGTTGCAAGATTGCCTAGATTTAAAATATCAATCTCTCATAACCTTATAAATCAATCTCTCATGACACTGCTCTAACAAAATAACAAGTAATTTTGTTAAAGTTTCGAGAACCCAAAAGAAGTTAAGATGAAAATAAAGCCAATGCAAGTATAAAATTATATTGAATTATGTATAGAAATATTTTATAAATCATCAAAATCAGGAACCCAAATTTCAAATCACTAATTTATAGGTAAATTATCAAAAGCATCCCAATCACATAATAATCAAACACCAACCAACTAGAATACAAACAGCTCGCTCAAAATTAGTAGAAGGAATGAAGGAATAAAGGGTTATACGTAAACCAAAAAACCAGGAAGCAGGAATCAAAGTTTCAAATTAATTTTTGCACACAAATTATAGACTTACAAACTAAAACTCCAGCGAAGGAAGTTCGGTGGCATGCAGAGGGCAGGTCACAAGCAATTGAGCAAGTCCACGGCGTGCAGAGAGAGAGAGAGGAAATTGGGTGAAAATTGAAATCAATTCTCATGAACCAATATATGAAGGTTTTGGATTTTGGGCAATGGCTAATGGGCCTAATGTTATTTTGAAAAGGGGCCTAATTCCTAAAACAACTTAAGCCCACTAGTTAAAAAAATGCCCAAACCAATTTCAATTCATCTTTTTCATTTGGAAGTATGTCCTTGCGCAATTTCACAGACAGTCGCCGATTCTACTGCAGTTCCGATGCAGTCCCTGCACCATTTCTGTTTGCACGCTGAAATTAGCATGGCAATCTTTTTCCCGTCTTCTCTCTGTAATAGTGATCTGACGCCCGACGGTATTGAAAACTCCGGCGGATCCAGCACGGGCGGCCGCCCCCCCTCGCCAGGTGCTGGGTCCGCCCTTGGTTTGATCCACGTAATTTTGGAAGAATGTATTTTGAAATAGTAGATTGATGGAGAATGTGTGGTTGAAAAGGAAGGAAAAGTTATTGATGTGATGGAAATTATTATTTTATTGAAATATGTGTGATTGAAAATGAGTATAAGAATGTGAATGAAAATTTTAATGTGTACCAAACAAGGGCTTAGTTGAAGTGTGCACTCTTTCAAGTTACTTAACGGTAATTGCTGGATTAACAACTGCAGACGATTAAACTCCCACTACAGCAGACTCCGCACTCACAAAAAGGCACGATTTTTCTCTCCCTCCCTCCAATGTTTCAGATCTCTTGGTCGTAATTTCCATTTCTTTGTCGTTTATAGATATACACACGCCCTCGGCTCTCTCTCTCTCTCTAGATCTCTCTCTTTCTGCTTCTCGTTCTCTTTAGTTGTCAAAGGGTTCCGAGGGTTTCTCTTCGTCGCTGACTCTCGACTTACCGTTTCTTCATCAGATCCGGAGGTCTCATCTGAAGCATGGCGGCTGCCAACGCTCCGATTACCATGAAAGAAGCCCTCACGGTACCTGACAATTATCGCTCGCCATTTCTCCCGATTTCTGGATTGTTAATTACTGAATTTCTCCAATTCAATTCATTTCAACCGTTTGGTTGCTGTTTTAGTTTATTTTATTTAAAATTGGATCAGTAGTTGTTTGCTCTGGCAAATTGACAGTATTTTTAGTTGCTTGAGTTGCTTAGGTTATGCAATTTAATTCAGATCTGTGATTTTTTTTTTTTTGGGAAATTTGAGCTTATGTCAGTTGAACTGGATTCTGACTCTTTGGTGTGGCTATGTAGCTGCCTAGCGTAGGGATCAATTCTCAGTTCATCACTTTTACAAATGTGACAATGGAATCGGATAAGTATATATGTGTTCGTGAGACTGCACCTCAGAATAGTGTTGTGATCATCGATATGAATATGCCAATGCAGCCTTTGAGGCGGCCCATTACTGCAGATTCTGCTCTTATGAATCCAAATACTAGAATTTTGGCACTAAAAGGTATGCGAACTATCCTAAGCATTTTATGAAAAAAGTAATCACGTGTCTTGCTTTCAAATTATGCAAAAAGTATTTCTTCCTATTCAAATAAAAAAATATATGGAATAAATTGCGTGGAAGTTTGTAGATACTGGTTAGGAGATTCACATGGAAATTGGAACTTGCAGATGTTTAAGTATGTAAGGTGTTCATACTAATAAGGCAAGTAGGGACATATTCCACTTCTGATCTCAAAAAAGAGAGGATGATGTCTTCGCATCATATTTATGTTAAAGCATGTGCACATCATTAGACATTAATGGAAGGACAACTCTCTTCTTTAAATGGTGTAAAAGTTTGTAAGATAGAGAATATCGGTGGTCTTTTTCAAATTATGCCTGAAACATTTTTTAGGTGATAGTTATTTAAAACGATACTTGCAAAGTTGCTAAATTAGCATGGTAAGCCACTGTACTGAAGCATTTTATTGATAGACTATTTAGTCAGAAAACTCAAACTGCATAAAATGCATAAATTGAGGTTTCTACCTCAATTTTATTTTCTAAGAATATCAATTTATTTGTCATAGCTCAACTTCCTGGAACTACTCAAGATCACTTGCAAATATTCAACATCGAGGCAAAAGCAAAAATGAAGTCACATCAGATGCCTGAGCAGGTATGATATTCATTACTTATGAATGCATTATTTTTTTTCCCCCTAAATAGTAAATGGCATGTTTTCCTCTATAAAGCAGTGTCTTGATGTTTGCATATCTGGATCACACTTCTTAACAGGTTGTCTTTTGGAAGTGGATCACCCCTAAGATGTTGGGTTTGGTTACACAATCCTCTGTATACCACTGGTCAATTGAAGGTTAGTTATGTTTATCTTGCCTTTGTTTTGATTTATTTATATAGTTCTCTCTCTATTTTCTTTTCACGTTCATGCTTTTTAAGCTTTTCAATCCATCTCTATATAGGTGATTCGGAACCTGTGAAGATGTTTGATAGAACAGCTAATTTAGCAAACAACCAAATTATCAATTACAGATGTGATCCTTCTGAGAAGTGGTTGGTTCTGATTGGTATTGCTCCTGGTTCGCCTGAGGTGTGCAATTGCTTTCATTATCTTATTGTTTCACCATAACTTTGAGATCGACAGTGGCATATTGTAATGTTATACATATTACTATATACGAAACTAATAATTTTGGATCGTGTTGCTGCATTGGTTGTTGAGTACTTCTCTTTCCTCTTCGTGCTTATAATTTCTACATCTTCCTTTCTTTCTACTTGCATTTTAAAATTTATTTTGTATGCTCCATGTAGTAATATTGTTCCTTCCTAATGTTATTGCATACTCATATGCTTTCCTTCTTTTTAAATAGTATTCAAGATTCATGATGGTATTTGCTTACATGATTGATATCATTTTTCAATGATGAGGTCTTGACATTGATCATTTAGTTTGTGGTACAGTGATAAGACTTATTATGTAAGTTTTGATTTTTAAATTATACAGCAAAATATATCATAAAATCTCCCCATCACTTAATGCACTTGAACTTTTTGGCTTTCGATTTTACTTATTTCAATTTCATTAGAGACCCATATTTTCCTTAGTAATCATCGTGGCTATGTTAATATGTCACCAAATAGTATTATTTGGTTATTTGAGCTGTAATATATTCTAGTTTATACTTATGAAAAGGAACTATTTAACACGTTTTTATCTATGTGAAGCTCAAGACTTAGGACAAACTAATAAAATAATTCATAAAAATGCAAAATGCAATAAGATGATCATAATAAATTTCAAACAATCTTATAAATCAACAGTTAATCAAATTAACAAAATTAGATGTCTACTTAGTAAACAAAGCATCAATTAATTACAAGTTATCAAATTAGTAATCGCATATCAAAAATTTAGTCTATAAGTAGTAGAAACAACATAAAAATCTTCTATATCATCTACTAGTAGGATCTTTAAAACAATGGTCAACATATTACACTCCAACTCATCACTATCATTTTCAACCTCCACTTGCAATAGTATCTTCTCATTCCCCTTCTCCTTCCATGTAAATGCATTCCCTTTCTCTTCTGTGTGAATGCAGAAAAAAGAAAACAAAAAAATCTGTTGAATGTTCCATGTCAAAAATAATAATAATAATAAATAAATAATCAGCTCAAAAATTTGAGTTTTGGATATAAGTATGCCTAGAGAAGGCTAGACAAAATGTGCAGACACCTTAGCTGTCATAAGGTTTAGACTTGAGGCATAAGCCTTCAGATGGCACTTAGGCTTGAAAGACTAATGACACAAGATGCAGGACTCCAGGCATAAGTCTCAAACAACTTGTTAAACAATGCTTGTATCTGGGCTATTTATTCAGGTACTTTATGGGACGTTCTTTGAAAGAAAACCTAGTTGGCCCCTGTTTGTGGCCTTTATCTGTAAAAAACTACGTTTTGAATAGTTTTTTTTTTTTTTGGAGAATGTGTATTTAAAAAGTAGAGAAAGTTTTGAGTTTACGTGTGAAATATTTTTTTTTGTATGAATGTGTGGTTGAAAATGAATATGAGAAATGATGTAAGATAAATTAAAGGGAATCGAGCATAAAATGGTTTAATTTAATCTTCTAGAGTGCTTTTATATAACATCAGTTACTAGTTTAGTTACCTTTTTTTATCAATATTGCAAGTTGCTTCAGTAATTGTATTTGAATTTTTTTGAGGGCTTCACGTTATCGTGCTTGGCCCAAGTTCTTGACCTTAGTTAAGTGTAGTCCCTTGTTCTTTATTCTATTTACAATCTGAAGTATAACTTTTGAGATGCTTTTCCAAATTAATCTGCTTTTCTTGAGTGAAGCCATAATAAAAATTGGTTCACATTTTTGGTCCATTATTTTGTCCTTTTGAATGCCTGATTTTTGTGGTTAAATATGTAAATGGCTTGGTCATTGAAGACTTCGCAAATTTTTGCTTACTGTATAGTTTCTGCCTGGAGCTTGTGTTTTGATATACTGGTTTCGTTCACAATCATCTTACTGGTTCGACATTCTTCTATTCATTTTTACAGAGGCCTCAACTGGTCAAAGGAAATATGCAACTATTTTCTGTGGATCAGCAACGTAGTCAAGCTCTTGAAGGGCATGCTGCATCATTTGCCTCATTTAGAGTACGAGATGTTGCTTCCTTTTGATCTATGTTTTTGCCTTTGTAGTTTCTCTAAGTTAGTTCTTATTGTATTCATTTGTATACCTTGAGCAGGTTCCTGGAAATGATAAGGATTCTTTGCTTATTTCTTTTGCTTCAAAAACCTCTAATGCTGGACAGATTACATCTAAATTGCATGTCATTGAGCTTGGAGCCCAGCCAGGTAGATATATTATTTTTTCCTGATTGTCCATGATTTTGGTATGGATATCATTATATTGATCTTGGTGCATGTGAAAGTTATTATCATCTGCTTATCAGCCTTATTCAACTCTACAAATCTTTTGCAGGGAAACCATCCTTTACCAAAAAACAAGCAGATCTTTTTTTCCCTCCAGATTTTGTTGATGATTTTCCAGTGGCAATGCAGGTATATCTTCACATGATAACCCTTCTTCTCCATGATTGTGTTTGTGTCTTCATATAATTGAAGTAATACTTTCGGCAATTTTAATTTCATTAGCACCGTCTTTTTGCTATTTGCAGATTTCCCATAAATATAGTTTGATATATGTGATTACGAAGCTGGGACTTCTCTTTGTCTATGATTTGGAAACTGCCACAGCAGTATACAGAAATAGGATTAGTCCAGATCCCATCTTTCTGACTTCAGAAGCTTCATCTGTTGGAGGTTTCTATGCAATCAATAGGCGAGGCCAGGTTTTACTTGCTACAGTAAATGAAACAACAATCATACCTTTTATAAGTGGCCAAGTATGTATTCAGCCTTTACATTTATGGTATATTCATCTGAAACATTTTTTTCCTACAATTATTGAGCGTTACTGATTATTTGTCAGTTGAACAATTTGGAGCTTGCTGTCAATCTTGCCAAAAGAGGGAACCTTCCAGGTGCAGAGAATTTGGTACGTCAATCCTGGCTCTTTATGCTCTTGTCATTTGAGATTTGTTTCTGACGAGAAGGCAGCTCGCAATTTCTTTACTTATAGAGTATTGCTTAGCATATGTGCTTATGCACATGTTTTCTTCTTGCAAGGCAGTATAAATTGGGTAGGGTTATTCCATTAGGAATAGGTCAGGATTACATTTTGATTAAACATGTTTTTTTATCATTACATCTTGTCTCGGTAGTGACGCATTAAAAGTGAGCCAGAAATGATTACTTTTATTCAATTATGTAGTGCTTTGAGATACTGATAACTTGCATTTTCTGTCATCTTAAAATGTCTCAGGTTGTCCAGCGTTTCCAAGAATTGTTCGCCCAGACGAAGTATAAAGAGGCTGCTGAGCTTGCTGCTGATTCTCCTCAAGGCATCCTCCGGACACCTGATACAGTAGCCAAATTTCAGGTAGTTCATATTCTTTTGTGGCATACACGTGGTGGTTATTATATCCCACATGCATGTTTCTTCTCCCCCTTTAAATGGAAGCAACTTTTCCGTACTTAAAACATATTACAGGCAATGTTTCATTGGGTACAATCAAAATTTTCTGAGGGGGAGAGGAGGCTTAATTAACATGATGTGATGTTTGCAGAGTGTTCCTGTTCAAGCTGGGCAAACGCCACCATTGCTGCAGTACTTTGGAACCCTTTTAACAAAAGGGAAGCTCAACGCATTTGAGTCTTTGGAATTATCTCGCTTGGTCGTGAACCAAAACAAGAAGAATCTCTTGGAAAACTGGCTAGCTGAGGATAAACTGGAATGTAGCGAGGAACTTGGAGACCTTGTGAAGGTTAGATTTCCTGTTAAATCTAAAATTATTTTTACTTAGATTTTGTTCAACTTTCATCTTTTATGTTGTAACATGAACCTGCTTTCTTGGTCTTTTTTTTTGTTTGTTTGTTTGTTTGTTGTAGACTGTGGACAATGACCTTGCACTGAAAATATATATCAAAGCTAGAGCTACTCCAAAAGTTGTTGCAGCTTTTGCTGAGCGTAGGGAGTTCGATAAAATTTTGATATACTCCAAGCAGGTTACTTGCCCAATCGATCTGATATTCTTACTTTCTTTTATTTATGTCAGGATAATTAGCACATTACACTATATGACAAATCAATTAGTTCACAAGGAAATGCCATTCATTTTTCTCAGTCTTAATAGTTATTTCAGATGAACAAATATGTTTTTGCTGGTACAGGTTGGATATACACCTGACTATCTGTTCCTGCTGCAAACTATTCTCCGATCAGATCCTCAGGTATGCTTGGAATACAACTTACTTTCTGGTGTTTTTAGTAATTCTCCTTTATTCAAATGTCACATAACATTGTAAATGGGACTTCACATTTGAAATGACTGAAATATTCTTTACCTTGGTGTTCCAGGGAGCTGTTAATTTCGCTCTCATGATGTCTCAAATGGAGGGAGGTTGTCCAGTTGATTACAATACCATTACTGATCTCTTTCTTCAGGTATGAGATTTGTTGATTCTGTTTATTTGAAAATTGAAGTTGTTTGTCTTATGGTGCTAACTGTTTCATTGGTTCTCCTGGTTTGCTTCTTTTCATGATCGAAAGCAGTCAAAAGTTCTTAAGACTATTAATTATGTTTAATAACTTCTATTTTATTATTATTATTTTTTTCAATAATACTTTCACCAGAGGAACATGATCCGTGAAGCAACTGCATTTTTGTTAGATGTTCTGAAACCAAATTTGCCAGAACATGCATTCCTGCAAACCAAGGTAAATTTTAGATGTTGCTCTTTTGGTTGTCCATCCAGTTCATTTTGTTGACATTTGGCATCAATTACTTGCCTCTTCCATTCAGGTCCTTGAAATCAATCTCGTGACCTTTCCTAATGTGGCCGATGCTATTTTAGCGAATGGGATGTTTAGTCACTATGACAGACCACGCATTGGACAACTTTGTGAAAAAGCTGGCCTTTACATACGAGCACTTCAGGTTAAATGTTTAGTCATGCGTGTGTTATTTTGTTAAATACACACTCTTGTGTTTCTAGATATACATAAATACGAATAAAAATTTATCCTGTTGATTGAACAATTTTCGTTGCTTGCAGCACTATACTGAACTTCCGGATATCAAACGTGTCATTGTGAATACTCATGCAATTGAGCCACAGGTTAATGAAATCAGGTCACTGGGTTATGTTTATCATTAATGTTTGTTGCACTGCTGAGTGATGTAATCAATTTCAGGCTCTTGTGGAATTCTTTGGGACACTTTCCCGAGAATGGGGACTGGAGTGCATGAAGGATCTTCTTCTGGTCAATTTGAGAGGCAACCTTCAGATAATTGTCCAAGTAAGGATTAATATGTTGCCATTGCAGTAGTGATTTTTTTCCGTCTAAGCTGGTTGATTCTTTGTCAATGGAAAAGTTACCTAAATAATTATTGTGTAAAAATTATTAGGTACTATAGAAATTTTGGTATGTCATTGCACTCCAGTTGTGAATTTGTTATTAGCAACATTGAGTCATTGACTAGTTCTTTTTCTGTAGGTTGCAAAAGAATATTGTGAGCAGTTGGGGGTTGACTCTTGCATAAAGATATTTGAGCAGTTTAAGTCGTATGAAGGATTATATTTCTTCTTGGGATCATATTTGAGCTCCAGGTAATTTCTGAAGAAAGTACGAGACTTTGCACTGCAGGGTCGAGTGCCGAGCCATTATACATATTATACTGGTTAGCTTATGTACTAATATTTGCTTTACTGCAGCGAGGATCCTGACATTCACTTCAAGTACATTGAGGCAGCTTCCAAGACCGGACAAATTAAGGAGGTTGAGCGTGTAACAAGAGAATCAAATTTCTATGACCCCGAGAAGACGAAGAACTTTTTAATGGAAGCGAAACTTCCAGATGCTCGACCACTGATCAATGTGTGTGACCGCTTTGGTTTTGTTCCAGACTTAACACACTACCTTTACTCAAGCAACATGCTCCGTTACATTGAAGGTTATGTGCAGAAGGTATAATTTCTGTCAAGATTCTGGTATCTTTGGGAGTATTTGTAGTCCTTGCTGGTGAACCTTCTGTCTTTCTGGATAGGTCAATCCAGGAAATGCTCCTCTAGTTGTCGGGCAACTCCTAGATGATGAGTGCCCTGAAGATTTCATTAAAGGCCTGATCCTGTCTGTCCGTTCTCTGCTTCCAGTCGAGCCTCTTGTGGAGGAATGTGAGAAAAGGTATATTTTATGCTTTCATGATTTTTTTTCAGATTTTTATCTTCATTTCCTTATATATGATATGTGGTGTGCAGGAATCGACTTCGCCTACTTACTCAATTTTTGGAGCATCTTGTGAGTGAAGGAAGCCAAGATGTGCATGTCCACAATGCTCTGGGTAAAATCATAATCGATAGCAATAACAATCCAGAGCATTTCTTGACCACCAACCCGTATTATGATTCACGTGTTGTGGGTAAATATTGTGAGAAGCGTGACCCAACTCTTGCTGTTGTTGCTTATCGGAGAGGGCAGTGTGATGGTGAACTTATTAATGTAACAAATAAGAATTCTTTATTCAAACTGCAATCCAGGTCTGTAAGTTGTTTAGTTTTAGACCTTGTTCTTTACTTTCACATCGTTTCTGGACGTTTATCCACCAATATTATTGTTTCAGGTATGTAGTTGAAAGGATGGACGGTGATCTCTGGGCCAAAGTTCTTGACCCTGAAAATGAATATAGAAGGCAGCTCATTGATCAAGTTGTATCTACTGCTTTGCCCGAAAGCAAGAGCCCAGAACAAGTTTCTGCTGCTGTTAAAGCTTTCATGACTGCTGATCTTCCCCATGAACTAATTGAGTTGCTTGAAAAGATTGTACTCCAAAACTCTGCTTTCAGTGGGAACTTTAACCTGCAAAACTTGCTAATCTTGACTGCAATTAAGGCTGATCCATCCAGAGTTATGGACTATGTTACTAGACTTGACAATTTTGATGGACCGGCAGTTGGGGAGGTGGCTGTAGAAGCCCAATTGTATGAAGAAGCTTTTGCTATCTTCAAGAAGTTCCAGTTGAATGTACAGGCTGTCAATGTGTTGTTGGATAATATTAGAGACGTTAACCGGGCAGTGGAATTTGCATTCCGTGTTGAAGAAGATGCTGTTTGGAGTCAGGTGGCTAAAGCTCAACTAAGGGAAGGATTAGTGAGTGATGCAATCGAATCATTTATTCGTGCAGATGATGCCACTCAATTCTTGGAAGTCATCCGTGCTGCGGAGGATGCAAATGTTTATCATGACTTGGTGAAATATCTTCTGATGGTTAGGCAGAAAACGAAGGAGCCCAAGGTGGATAGCGAACTCATTTATGCATATGCTAAGATTGATAGGCTGGGTGACATTGAAGAATTCATTCTCATGCCAAATGTTGCCAGTCTCCCTAATGTTGGTGATCGCTTGTATGATGAAGAGTTATATGAGGCGGCAAAGATAATTTTTGCTTTTATATCTAACTGGGCCAAGTTGGCGGTCACACTAGTGAAGTTGAAGCAATTTCAAGGGGCTGTTGATGCAGCACGGAAAGCAAATAGTTCAAAGACGTGGAAAGAAGTCTGTTTTGCTTGTGTTGATGCTGAGGAGTTCCGGTTAGCTCAAATATGCGGTCTTAATATCATTGTACAGGTACTTTTGTGACTCGATTATCAGATAACTCCTTTTAGTGTCCTGGTTGATTCTTTTGCTTAGTTTTTCATGAGCATCTTAGAGAGTACACAGTGCAGCAATCTCTCTGCTAATTTTGTTTTTATCAATGTGGTTGTTTTAGGTCGATGACCTGGAAGAAGTTAGTGACTATTATCAGAACCGAGGATGCTTCAATGAGCTTATCTCTCTTATGGAGAGTGGTTTGGGACTTGAACGTGCACATATGGGCATCTTCACAGAGCTTGGTGTCCTGTATGCTAGATACCGTCATGAGAAACTCATGGAGCATATCAAATTATTCTCTACCCGTCTCAACATTCCCAAGCTAATCCGAGCTTGCGATGAGCAGCAGCACTGGAAGGAACTAACGTATTTGTATATTCAATATGATGAGTTTGATAATGCTGCCACTACCGTCATGAATCATTCCCCCGAAGCTTGGGATCACATGCAATTCAAAGATATTATTGTCAAAGTTGCCAACGTGGAGTTATATTACAAGGCGGTGCACTTCTATTTGCAAGAGCATCCTGATCTCATTAATGATGTTCTAAATGTCCTAGCTCTTCGAGTGGACCACACTCGTGTAGTGGACATAATGAGGAAGGTTCTTATTCTGCTTAATGAGTTATTTCCCTTCTCGTTTCATGAAATGCTTGATTTGAAATCTTGAGCATAATGTTGTGCTGACACTTTTTACCTTGCATTGTTTAGGCGGGCCACCTGCGTCTTGTTAAGCCATACATGGTTGCAGTTCAGAGCAATAATGTGTCTGCTGTGAATGAAGCTCTCAATGAGATCTATATAGAGGAGGAGGATTATGACAGATTGCGTGAATCCATTGAGTTGCATGATAACTTTGATCAGATTGGCCTTGCACAGAAGGTGAATTAGGGTTTCTGCCTTCGTTTAATTTCTAGTTCCTGAAGGCTAATAAGTAATATTTTTTCCGTGACAGATTGAGAAACATGAGCTCCTTGAGATGAGGCGTGTCGCAGCCTACATTTACAAAAAGGCAGGTAGGTGGAAGCAATCCATTGCATTGTCAAAGAAAGACAACCTTTACAAGGATGCAATGGAGACTGCTTCACAATCTGGTGATCGGGAACTTGCTGAGGAGTTGCTTGTTTACTTCATTGAGCAGGTATTATTAGTTGCTTGATTGAACAGGTATTATTAGTTACTGTATTGAGCATGTATTTTTAGTCACGAAATCTAAATATTTATACTTGAGGACTTGATATAAACTATTACCAGTTGCCTGCATTGAGATCGTGACGAATTCTCTTTCCAAATGGATTTTTTAATTATTTTGACGATTTCTCTCTCCCTCTCTTGAATACTTTATTTTTGCCATTCCATTGTCCAAATATCTGGTGTCTGACATGGGTACTTCAATGCCTTTGGAAGAGTCTTAAGTTATGCCACTCTCGAAAAATTATATACGAGATTGTGAATGGTAGAAATTAGGTGTCTAATAATTGTTTGTATGATTCTACAGGGGAAAAAGGAATGCTTTGCATCGTGCCTATTTGTTTGTTACGACTTGATTCGCGCGGATGTTGCCCTTGAACTTGCCTGGATGAATAATATGATCGACTTTGCCTTCCCATATCTGTTGCAGGTTATTCTCTCTTGTACACAATGGCTCACATCTTTGGGGATTTCTTAATATTTAAAGAGTAGCCTGAAGTTGTATAAAAGCCTTATATGGTTTTCTCCCCTTTTTCATTTTTTTTTTTGATCGATACCCCTTTTTCATTTTTCTTCTTGTAGTACTAGGTTAAAGATTTGGGTATGTGATCACATTTTAGGATACATACTCAATTTTTAGGTCGATCTTTGCTCTTTGATAGCATTGTTACGAACTTCGTTTTTCATATTATATCTTTTTATTTTGCAGTTTATCCGTGAATACATGGGCAAAGTTGACGAACTAATCAAGGACAAAATTGATGCTCTTAATGAAGTGAAGGCTAAAGAGAATGAGGAGAAGGACGTTATGAAACAACAGGTAACTTTAAGAAACTCTTTCTGTTTCCCAGTTATCAGTCGGGGAACTGGTCCCTCTTATTTGGTTCACTGGTAGTGTGACTGATTTAGCGTGCATGCTTTCACTGGGTTTAGTTATACTCGTGTACATGTACTGATATATTGATAGCTGGGCATTAGATGATTTCAATTGCCTCAAAATATTTGATGATTTTTATTTGTTTACTGAATTTGTTTATTTATTTTTTGCAGAATATGTATGCCCAGTTGCTGCCTCTTGCTTTGCCTGCACCACCTATGCCAGGTATGGGGGGTGGTGGAATGGGAGGAGGTTTTGCTGCACAAATGCCACCCCCACCTATGCCTATGGGTGGAATGCCTCCAATGCCACCGTTTGGCATGCCACAAATGGGGTCCTACTGATCTGGTTGGAAATTCATAGCGGGTAATTTTTACTTTGAGAAATGAGGACACCAATGGGCTGCACTTTATGCCTTGTCGTTTCTTGTCTGATGCTCACCACATTCACTTTTCTGGAAGCTGCCTACCTCAAGATAAAAGTTTAGTTAAAGCTCCAAAATAATGTTATTTGGTGACGTCTGTCGTAGGTGTGTGGATATAGTTTTTGTAATATTCTTTGGTAGCAGATGCATTTTTTGGCTGCTGCAGACAAGAAGATAGGATAATTTGTATTTTATAAGGACTAGTGCCCATGTGATTAGTGGCATTATATACTGATTCTCAGGATTGTTAACTCATGGTTAAGTTCAATTTTTTTTTATGCGCCTGTCAAATTTCCATATTTGCGTGTTTTACTCTTTTTTGGGATTTCACCTGTATATGAATTTTTCTTTAACAATTTGCAATCCCTATTCCCTAAACCTAATTAATCTCTCTCCATTTCTCACAAAACATAATCGGCCTGGCGAAAAAACCTCCAGCCAGCCTCTTTCTCTATCCTGGCTGATTGAGTTGGGCCTTCAATCCATATTATATATTTAGCTGATGTTTTATTCCCATTTTGCCGCATAAATCTTCCATCGGACCAGCAAATCAGTTTAAGATGGAAACCTAACAGCACATATTTTATAGTTCTTTATCCATCAAATCAAAACCACAAGACGAGTAAGGATGAGGTAGCTAAGTAGCACCCGGAATGTGCGCATTGTCACTTTATCATTATCGGCCTCATTTTTTCTTCGCAGCAACAAATTTATTACTTGGATGCACCGAAGGAAAAGAAGTTGCTTGTATCCTGTCTTCCATGGAACTTGCAATCTAAGAATCAGCCTCCGGTCCATGAGGTTTTCATACAGAGGATGGACCACAAAGGCAAAGATGTCTTTCGATAATTTGAGAAGAATTTTACTAAATATCCATCCTCAAACTCATAATTGTGCGTGGAGGAAAGGGTGCTAGGTTTACAGCTTCAGTCGAATTTGGGAGTAGAGAAAGATCAAATCTGTGCGAATTTTTATGGGGGCGGAGTTATGTTTTGATTTTGAAAAAAAATTGTGTTTGTTTCAGCCACATCAGCATGCCTTTCACAAGTGGGATGAAATAGAAAGAAAATCACCGTGGCTAAGAGTGGTGGATGGAGATCCATTTGAGAAATTGAGTGATGTTTTTGAGCCACATTTTGAAGTTCAACCATGTCCGTGTGCGGTGTGACCCCCCAAGTACAGTAATTTTCAAAATAATTAACTCTTTTAACAGTATTGTATATCTAATCAAACATTCCGCCCCAATTACGGAATCCGTTTAGTTGGATATGCTATCCGACAAATCTTAGTCGTAATCATGTCTCGGAGTAACAGCAAAAAAGCTGTCGGATTCTTCCATCCCTACACTAGCGGCGGATTTTCTGGTGCGCTGTCGAGGCAATCCTTATTCTTTTTTCTATTTCCTTTTTTTTTTTTAAGTAGATAGAGTGAATGTGTAATTGCTTTCTTTGGGTTTGCAGTGACGTAATTATGCATAGTTGTATGAATGGTGTATCTAAACGGAGAACACTCGGCTTCAATTTAGCCTTGATAAATATGAGGATACTTACGTTCTGTTAATATTGGGTTAGAAGTAGATTCAGTTTTTTTTTTATTATGTCATAATAATCTAGTCTATTTGTTTAGGTGAAGAACAGTCGTGTAAGAAAAAGAACAATTTCTTTAATGAATAGTATTCAATTGTGAATTTAAAATGAGAGTTATGGAAGGGAATTTTTCACCTCAACCATCTGACCAGTTTATGTTAGTGGCATGATTCTGTTCTCGGTTCTTTGTTGCCATTTGAATGAATAGAGCCGAAATTGGTGATGTGGGTGGCTATTCAGTTGTTCTTGTGGTGGAACACAACGGATATTATTATACAGGTGGGAAAGGGGTGATAGGGGATGGATGGGAATGAGAATGAGTAACAATGATAGTGGTTAGGCCACTTGTGTGTTGCTGGAAGTGGAAGATGGGTCATGCTCGGTCTTTTTAATTCGTACATGCCTTCTACGCTACAAACTCATTTAGCAATATTATCTAATGGATTAAGCTGTTTGAACAGGGCCACGCAAAGGCCTGTTCATCTAGCATGACCCTTATCTAACTAAGATGTCGGCGTCCGTGTCCACTTTTCTGGAAAATCACTTATTGGGGTGTCGTTTTTCGTGATGGGACATGATGCAAAATGTCCTAAAACTTTCTAGAATTGTGAAAAATGCCATCAGTAGCACTGTGCTTAAAATTTGTACAAAAGCTACAAGCAGTTTGGAGAACATCTAAAACTGCTCAGAGCGACAAAAATGCTTCAGAAGCAGAAGCCTCGCAAACCAGGCCCATTGATAGAATCAATATTCTAGAGAAGCTTAGTATGTTTGACTATTAAATTTTGACAAGTAGCAGACTGGCATGCAAATTGGAGTTTTTGGGGCACAAGAAGTACCTGAGAAATTGAAGAATATATTACTATTGTGCCTAGTTATTTACTTTTCTATTTTTTCTTTATTTCTTAGTTATTCTGACTTGCTTAGTGTCTGTTTGAAGAATGTATTTGTTATCTTTTGCTAAGATTTCTGAATGTGCTTTGTTTATCAGGTGGTTCATCTGTACAAGAGGAGATGGATTGAAGGAACCATGTATCCTCGATTCACAAGGATTGGTCAGAGCTCGGTTCTGTGTGCCTATCGTGGAAAACTTTGTGCAAGTTTACTCCTTCGTATTATTTAGACACGAGTGGACATGCTTTTACTTATCCTATAGCATGGGATGTTTGGGCTAGAAAAATCTCTATCCTTAATATTCTGGATTTGTATCATCTTTATTCCCCTCCATTTGCATCTTCCAAAATTTCTGATCATGACAATTGGTTATGGAGATCTTTCTTTTGAAATATCTGTTTCAACTTCGAAACAATTTTTTGGTGATATTTACAAATTCTATATCCTAGGAAGCCAGGTCAAAAGCTTGATGAAATTTCTCTTACGGCGTCTTTCTGTCATGGTGCAAAGTCATCTATTATATGATTTCAGCTAAATTTATGGGATAATAGGCTCCTTTGTGGAATTCCAGCTCGTATTAAGCAAGTCTATCCTCCATGAGAAACTTCAAGCCTTCAGTTTTGTGTTTTTGGAATTTATTATATTGTGATAATGTTATGATAAGGCTCTGGAATAGGTACTTGCAGGATCATTTTAATGTCTGTGTTTTCATGCGCGAACCTCTAAGTAATTAAATTGGTTAAACAACTCATTATTATCTTTCATTTAACAAATAACCAACTGGCAGTACTAGAAGGCCCCAGATAAATTTCAACTACTGGTAGTCCATCTGGACTTTTGACAATTGAATATGAGTTGATTATAAGCTGTAAGAAAATAAAAAAAATAAAAATCCTGTATATGATTAAAAGAGAAGTATTTGAAATCCAGCATCTGCATGGTCTTGGTACTTGCATTCTACACTGCAACTCTTGTTTTGTCTTGAAAAGATTTCTGCAACTATTATTGTACATACTAACCTGTGGCTTCCAAGCAGGTGCTACCATTAGAAAGGCCAATGCGACCACCGAATATTATATATGAGGCTCAATTTCGTCCAGAAAAAGGGGGCATTTGATGAGATCAAGTTATCTGTATTTAAACAGTAGTTTGTTTCCTATAAACCTTTTTTAAGTTTTGGTATAAGTGTGCATGATCTTGAGTTTTTATTTTCCAGGCACACCCCCTTCAACTTGAGGCATTTTCTGTTTCCTTGAAAAATTTAGATACAGATCTGCCGACACCAAAGCTCTAAGTTGTAGGTAGTTGTAGAAATGACACAGATGAGAAAAGGTAGCAACACCTAAAGGATCTAGCTAGTGATCTGAAGGTGGATGGTTATGTGGAGCTCCATAAAAACGTGTTATACAGGTTTTTGGTTTTAATCTCTATATTTTGCTACAACAAATTGCTAGATATTCGTGGAATTCTACAAATTGTTTATAACCAAAAATACTAACAATCAACTTTCATTATAAGTTACTTTCTTAACAATGATAGCCATACACAGCAAATTTACTATTATGATGTGGGGGAGTTATTTTCTATTTTGCACATGGAGTTGCCTGAACAGAGTTGTTGTTAATTGAAGCTATGATGTTGGCTAAGTTTGTATGTTATGTTGTCCGGTTTATAAGCATTAATTGAATGTCAATGTAGCCTCATTTTCCAACTTTTTGAGTTTCACTTTATACAAGCTGTGGAGATGTCTGAGAGTAAACAGCATATATTATCAAATACGAGCTGCAATGAGTGCTTCAATCACTGATCTTTTTCAGTACTAAAATCATATATTTGTACTTTGGTTTGCTTTTTATTTGCTTTGGTAGATTTTATTTACCAGCATTCTCTTATTAGGACATGGACTTGTTATTTATTTCCACTTTTTTTGGGGATGCTGCAGCAAGCTGGTGAAACTCTTGGGCAGTGCAGCTGCAGGAATTGACTTCATGGTAGATGAGCATTTGGCATAAGCGTAGTTGAGTACCTGGAATCTGGTGCCATACCAATTGGGCTCTTTCCAAATGTTTTGCTATCTTCTCATGTGGAAGTATCACATATTTTCTACACAAGCAACCAACTTATGGGTTTTTAAATATTATCAGCCCATAATTCAGCTGCGCCGAAATGGACATTTTATCAGGAGGAAATCAAACAGGATTTCTAGCTCAGATTGTGCAAGAATATGCAGATGCCATCCTCAAAATCATTAGAATGCCTGAACAACAACAGCTTGAAATGGCTGCTTCTGCAAGGAGAAGAGCTTTAAGGTTCTCGAAACAAGATTTTCTGAAGATTTCAAGGCTGCTATACAACCAGTTTTGTTTCATACTCCCATATGATATAAAACTATAGTTACCACACTTAAGAAAGATCAAAGTCAAACACAATTTTTATGGCACCTTAATCTCTATGTGATCAAATTAGACAGTTAAATGTCAGACTTTTCTCTTCTGGTATATAGAGGGGTTTCTGTTAATGCTAAATTTCGATTGCTGTCCCCTACATTTGCTCCCATTTTGCACTTCTATTCCAACTTCTAATTCTTGGCCTCTCTATCCTCAAAGTTCGCAAAATGACAGTTTCCTCTCCAAATGATAGTCAATTTGTCAGGTGCGCCTCACATTGATAATTAAACATGGTTGCCTCACATTGATAATTAAACATGGCTATTTTTGTCCATCCCTATTAAGTAAGAAAACTTCATCTGCTCCAGCACTTCATCCTTAGCTATTCCTGTGGTAGTTAAGAGGAATAGATAGCTGTTTTTGTTCTATTCAAATAACAGCTGAACCTGTAACCATGTTCATTTTACTATCTGCTTACTGTTAACCCCTGTGAATTGGATTCTATGATACAGTTTTAGAGCAATTTTGTATTATTGGTTCTAATCATTCAAGCTTCCTACCTATATAGGATGGTGATCCATAGTATTGATCTTTGTCTTTACATTTGTTCTAAAGTTGTGAATACAAAATAACTTACGAGATGCTCACCTTTATGTTCTATGGACATTGTTCCTTTTGCACCAGTTGTTAGTCAGTCAGTCACCTACAAATTGGCTTCCCACAGTTTCATACATCCTAATCTAACTATTATGAGATTCACTTCATTTAAATTCATGCTGAAATTTTCTCTATGATAGTTGGAGCTGCTTCTATGGTTTATTTTATCATAATTTAGTTACACAAGGGCAGTGTTTTATACCCCCAATCCCTATGGTTATCATTCCTTTTGATTTTGATACAATAGTGGGTAATCAAAATTGCAATATCAACTTCTTCCTCTGTTTTTCCCTTTCTTTTTGTTTTCCTGATCAAAGGATAAGGTTAACAGTACTACTGATAGTGATTTGCTAGCACATATCATCTATTTAAAGATGACAGAGTAAAATATCGGAAATTTTCCTTTGCTGGTCAGGGTCTTCATGGATTTGTGCATGTTTTGTTTGTTTATTTTTTACTAGTCCTGGTATTGAGAACAAGTGGGTTCGGGTTGTAGCCAAAAACCGAGGTTACTTGTGCATTCATATGACGAAGCTGAGTCCATATCACTCCAAAGAGCTGACAGCAAACAGGTTAGCCAGCATCATTGGATGCTTATACATTCAAAAGGGTAAATACTAAATTTCTCATCTCATGTATTGACCTGATTTGTTGGAATCAGCACCCTTTAGTGTTTTCTAGTTAAACAAAAATCTTCTTTGATAGTCTGGCATGTCTATCGTTTATCTTTGAGTGCTTGTGTTATCAAGTTGTTGTTTGAAAGGAAACTCATTGGATTCAACTATTTCATGCGGTCCTAATTTTCCGCATTTTCTTTGTGGGGCGTAAGATTTTGAACATTTAGCCTAATGGGACCCCATAAAAAAATATCAACAATATTGAATTTTGCTAGCTTCCATGGTGATAAGGTTACCCCATAAAATTAAAAAAAAAAAAAAAAAGTTCTGCACTCCTTGGAATTGTATTATAGTGTGTTAGTGAGGTGTAGTGTGTCTATTCATGTAGAAATGTTAATAGATTAGATTCATTTGTTGCTATATTCGATATTGAATCATGTGATCAATGGATAAAATCTATATTTTTTGTTATTTAGCCCATGTTTAGTTTTGTTAAAATTCAGGTTTTTAGTAGATTTTTATGAAAAAAAATGATAAAATGTGGGGTTAAAAAATCGATAAAAATTGTAAGTTCCAAGAAATGTGTGGTTGAAAATGAACTTAAAAAAGAACGAGGACCAAATATGGGCTTAATGTTGACGGTGCCTACCTTTGTTGTTCTTAGATCTAATTATTCAATTGAGAGAAGTAATGGAGGGGGAGACTACACGGGCCACACATTATATTGAAACAAATAGGTTTTGTTGGGGGTGGGGAGTGGGTAGGGCGTAGGGGTAGATCAATGGTCATATCAATCTTTAAAATCCACTTCATGGTGGAGTTACAACTATGGCTGTGGATGGGGTCCTACATCAAGACTTACGGTTGATTGTAATTGAAGTTCTTTTGTTTTTAGCAAAGGACAACCTAATCAATCCCAAGTTCATTTATGTAAAGGTGAATTGATTTATGAAGAACAATGAAAATAAAAATAGCTTTAATTTTTATACAATGTCCATACTAATCATGAGATTTGATTCTAAATGATTCTTCCTTTGTTGGGTTGTGTTGGTGGGGGTGGGAGAAGTGAAAGAGGATGAGGAAGAATCAATAAAAGTGTTATCAACTAGTCTTCTTCGTATAGCTGCTTGTGCGTTTTGCGACTAAAATGAAGCAGCATTTTGGGCTAAAATCGGACGAATAAGCAAAGGGTAGCCCTAAAATTTACTAGGATGAAATAAATTTCACAAAAATACATGGGATTCCCAATCATGACATGCCCCACAATCCAACTGATGTGAGTAGTTGGCTATACACTGACTGGGATATTTCGTGTATAATATTGCAGGCAGCGAGATATCACTATTAAATTTAATGTATCAAGGCCTTGTACTGATCCTCTACAATATTAGCCCTTGTTTGACACCCATTTTATGGAAGAATTTGATTTGGAATAGTGATTGATGGTAAAATGTGTGGTTAAAAAATAAGAAAATTTTTTGGATTTATGTGTAATATTATTTTATTGATAGAATGTGTGATTAAAATGAAAAAAAAGAACGAGAATAAGAAAAAAATGAATGTCAAACAACTGGAACAAGGGCTAGGTATTACTAGGTCAATCAAAACCTGTGTCCACATCCGACAAATTTATGGACTTTTACACTGTATAAAAAGATTTTTTGAGACGCTGAAATATTTTTATTGAACAATTATCCAATTTTTAGGCATTCTGAATTGGTAGAAAGTAGCATGTATTGAAAAATTTTAAGAATTTAGACGAGATGAAAATATTGAGTCGGGCCATTGTTTCTACAGTTGATTGGATATTGAAAATATTTACGTTTGAGGTGACTGGAGGATAAGGCCAAAAATAGTTCCTATAATTCCATCTGGCCAATAAAAGGCTACTAGATGTCACAATCTACACTTGAATATCACACACTGCACTGCTAGTATAGGCTAGTTAGTACTGAGAAAAATGTGGCAATAGATGTGGTATAAAAGAGGCAAAGAAATCTGTTGTCGATCGGAGAAAAAGATTGTTTCTTGAAAATGGAAAATTGCTATTGGTCTGAAGAACATCAATATTCCTCTTGGAATCAAAGCCAAAGTGAACTGAAAAGTGATAATTCTTTTCAGGTTCCATGGTTTCCTCCAAATCCTCCTCCTCCTCCTCCTGGTGAGGTGGCGGCATCTGAGAAGGGTCTCCAGTTTCATTGTTATCCCTCCTCGGTCTTGCCGCCTTGGGCAGCCTCCTTTGAAGGGGTGGCAGAAGATAGAGGTGGCAGTGCTTCTAGGAGCCACAGTGAGGCTGAGAAAAGGCGCAGAGACAGAATTAATGGACAGCTCGCAACTCTCAGAAAACTGATCCCAAAGTCTGAAAAGGTTGGTTTCTCTCTACCCCCTCTCTCTCACCCGAGCACTACAAGAAATTTTACTTTTTAGCGATGAATTTTTTTTTATCTTGACAAGTCCCTCGACTAAACCACCAAATTATGTCTTTCTACGGCAAAAAAATTCGTTGTTAAAGGTGAACACAAGTGGTAATTCAGTCAAGATGGAGAGGCAAGTCTACGAATCTGATTTTTTGCTGTTAATCCGTAAAACAGTGTAGACATCATCTTCTCCAAAACAAAGCCCGAATGTTTATATTAATTCAATAGAGACTCTCAATATCTTATGGAACCGTACACCTTCTAGAGATAGTGCCACGTCCAGTCAAAGATTGTACATGTAGATGTCTGCTTATGTGGGGCAAATCAATCAAATATTTGAATATCAATGTAGAATGCTACGCGTACTTTTAACTATGTCAAAAATATTTTGAATTTATGGAGCAAAGTGCACTAAAATCAAGATAATCTACGATTAGTACACGAGCACATGTTTCTGCAGTATTCTTTAGTTAGTGAAACACTCTCAAATTAAATCAAAATAGTGTGTTTCTGCAGATGGACAAGGCAGCTCTATTAGGACAAGTAGTAGAGCATGTGAAGGATCTAAGGCAAAAGGCAAAAGAAATCAGCAAAATCTCCACAATTCCAACTGATATAGATGAAGTCACAATTGATCACTTGGACCTAGAAGAATCGAGCATGGAGAATAATATATACATAAAGGCTTCTGTTTGCTGCGACGATAGGCCGGATTTATTTGCAGAGCTGAATTGTGCCCTCAAGGGCCTTAGACTCACCATTCTTGAAGCTGATATAACAAGTTTAGGTGGCAGAATGAAAGCCATTTTTGCTCTTTGTGCCAAAAATGGAATGGAAGAAAATTCTTGCTTTAGCACTATCAAGCAGTCACTTTATATCGTATTGAACCGTGTTGCTATGTCTTCTGCTACATCAAATTATCGGGCGAGGAGCAAGAGGCAGAGGTTCTTTTATCCTTCTCATTAATTAAATATTTTGAGTTCTTCCCAAGCAATGTTTGATTAATTGAGGACTTTTTGATGATGATTGTATTTGATCTTGTATCATAGGCGAAAGAATCTCATATATCTGAATTTTGATTGATTTTTATATATTTGATGAACTTCTACCAAATTCATCATTTTTGTACGGGATAGATTGATGATCTTATTCTGAAATTTATGTATTCTTAGATATGTAGAAATGTCTATATTTTTACTGGAAATGATCATGTAATATGTTGTCACATCGAGTGTGGTCTGATATCTATTAATTTGCAGCACCCTCGCAGATTGGGGGGGTGGGGGGGGGGGGTGCAGATTGGGGGGGGGGGGGGGGGGGTGTATTAAGTCAGCTTTTGAAGATTGGAAAACTATTAGAGCAGACACTATATTCATGAAGAGTATCATATAGAATTTGCAGCACCTCACAGATGGGGTGTCTTAAGTCAGCTTACTGAAGAATGGAGGAATATTAGAGCATTTCCAAGAGTATCTTATGTAAAAGGACAGTTTGAGATCAAGAAGTTCAACGAGGCAATATATCTTTGTGGAAATTAAAAATGAAAACAATTTTGCGGAAGGACAATTGTTTAGTGGAAATTGAAATAAAACAAGCGGCAACATTGACGACAAGTGGAAGGTGATGAATGGCCATTCTATTTGCAATTTGCATTTAGCATTGACAAATTTAGTTTTCTCAAATATTGCAGAAGACGAGATATGAGATACACTGACAAAATACAAAGTCAAATCACTCCATGTTTGTGATATTGTTTGCTCAATAAGCGTAACTCGATCACCACAAATATGCACCTTTGTGATTGATCACCAGTAAAGCTCCACCTCGATGTCAATTCATCACCACAACTCCACCTCATACTTGAACTTGTTATCATCTTTAGCTCAATCTCAAAGTTTGTACCTTGAGAGATCTGATATCACTATTGAAAAAATTCCATCGATCGTAGCAGAAATGAAAAATCCAAAAAATGAACAAGAAAGAATGAAGATGGATGTTTGAATATATCAAAATGTAGTGTGAGGTTCAAGTGGCACCTACCATTAAACGGGTGCAAAAGACGTGCTGATTTGAGTATTTTGTGTCAAGGTTAGATTATTCGGGCTGACTCAAAAAAAAATAAATTAATCGTTAAAAGGTTCAATGAAGAAATATAATTAAGGACCAAAAACACAATTTCTCTAAAGCTCAATTTAATCAATTATAGGAGTCATACGAAGAATTCCTATCCAACTCGGCTCGGGGACATTTTTTCACTTCTTCTTCATGTGTATGTAATCTTTCTTCTATGGTGGTTGTGAAGGTGTTTTGTGGGTGTATATATGCATAATGCATGTATCTACATGTTCAGAGAGAGAGTGCGTGTAAGTGTGTGAAATTTTGTATATTCATACACCTATACGTATACATAGCAAATTTGCTCTCTACAAGCCCATTATCCTCTTCAAATATGACTGTTTAGTTGATCTTTCCATGAAAGATCAATTATTTTTGTTATGACTCATTACAAGGCTGCCATGTGGCCATTGTAATTAAGCTGTGGGACCCGATCCAACCAAACCGCCTTGCCTCTCTCTGTGTAGACCGATGCCCCTTATCCGAGGTCCAATTATCTGCTGAGGCCCCTTACCCGAGGCCCTCTTATCAACCGAGGCCCGATTACCTTTGGGGCACTGGATCCGAGGCTCCCCAGCTTATGACGGCCCATGTGCAAGGATTTGCTGATGATGAAGATCTTTATCCAAATGACTGATGTGACCTTTGTAAAAAGTATAGTTATGTCTTGTCTTATCAATGTAAGAGCATTGAATGCTTTGAAAAGTTAGGAAGTCAAAATGATGGCTAGAATTTGATGATTTGGTCATAGGGATGAGGCCACGTGTAATTTCATCCAAGGGTCACCATCTCATTTGTAATACTATAAATACCCCCACCATGTAACAAGTGAGGACTAATGATACTTTAAATACTCAGATCAACCAATTTTATTCTCTTATCAGTTTATTACAACTACGAATCTTGCTCTTATTGATTGGTCATTATACCATCTTGTTCTGTAAATTCTGTCGGAGCCCGAACGGAAACGTCTTGTGTTGTTGAGCTCCTCCCACGTCCAATCTCTAGAGCTATCCCGACAGTAGATCTACCTTAACGTGTCGGATGTGACTTACGCATGCACGAGTGTGCCCGACATCTGTTGAGTTCGTTTTCTGAGGTCAACAATTTTATTCGCAAATTAAGTAAAAAATGGGGTTTGGATGCATGGTTAGCTTTATAATCCTCTTTTATAACGTTTCAAACCTTTCATGGTTAGTCCAACGCATTTTTTTCCACATAAAATTGTTGAATATAGGAATGTAGTCGCTCCAGCTGGAACTATTTTGAAAATGGTTGGTCCAACGCATTTTTTCCCGACAGAAAATAGTCGACTATAGGCATGTATTTGCTCGAACTGGAATTATTTTGAAATTTTAAATTTAAGACGACTTTGCACTCGATTCTTGATAGTTAACTTCAGAGTTCTTGCTACGTACGTTGCAACACATTTTGGATGAACCATATAGACGAACATAGGAGTCGTAGAGGTGCCTAAAAAATGGTTGCTTGAATTGTCAAAATGGGTTTCCAACTTTTGGACTTATCATTTTCGGCCCTAAATCACTCATCTTCCTATTTATATTCAATTAGGTCCTTAAAATAAATTATGAGCCTGTTTGGTAAAACTCCCGATTACCTTTGGGGCACTGGATTCGAGGCTCCCCAGTTTGTGACGGCCCATGTGCAAGAATTTGCTCATGATGAAGATCTTTATCCAAATGACTGATGTGACCTTTGTAAAAAGTATAGTTATGTCTTGTTTTGTCAATGAAAGAGCATTGAATGCTTAGAAAAGTTAGGAAGTCAAAATGATGGCTAGAATTTGATGATTTGGTCATAGGGATGAGTCCACGTGTAATTTCATCCAAGGGTCACCATCTCATTTGTAATATTATAAATACCCCCACCATGTAACAAGTGAGGACTAATGAAACTTTAAATACTCAGATCAACCAATTTTATTCTCTTATCAGTTTATTACAACTACGAATCTTGCTCTTATCGATTGGTCATTATACCATCTTGTTCTGTAAATCATGTCGGAGCCCGAACGGAAACGTCTTGTGTTGTTGAGCTCCTCCCACGTCCAATCTCTGGAGCTATCCCGACCGTAGATCTACCTTAACGTGTCGGATATGGCTTACGCATGCACGAGTGTGCCCGACATCTGTTGAGTTCGTCTTCTGGGGTCAACAGTTTTATTCGCAAATTAAGTAAAATATGGGGTTTGGATGCTTGCATAGTTAGCTTTATAATCAACCTCTTTTATAACGTTTCAAAACTTTCATGGTTAGTCCAACACATTTTTTTCCACATTAAATTGTCGAATATAGGAATGTAGTCGCTCCAGCTGGAATTATTTTGAAAATGGTTGGTCCAATGCATTTTTTCCCAAGAGAAAATAGTTCGACTATAGGAATGTAGTTGCTCGAACTGGAATTATTTTGAAAATTTAAATTTAAGACGACTTTGCACTCGATTCTTGATAGTTAACTTCAGAGTTCTTGCTACGTACTTTGCTACACATTTTGGATGAACCGTATGGACGAACATAGGAGTCGTAGAGGTGCCTAAAAAATGGTTGCTTAAATTGTCAAAATGGGTTTCCAACTTTTGGACTTATCATTTTCGGCCCTAAATCACTCTTCTTCCTATTTATATTCAATTAGGTCCTTAAAATAAATTATAACATTTTCAATCTAATTCATTTTAGACCCTGGAATAAATCAAATTATACCAATTTACTTTTTATTTTTCACTTAAAATAAATTATAAATACGACAACTTTTCGAGGCATTTTCAAAGCTAACTCTTAAATGTCTTATTTATTTATATTTCTCGTCTTTAAAATAAATAATAAATACTACGAATTTTCAGGTCGTTACACGAACAAAAATAAAAACCAGATTGGCACGAGAATCCTTTCTTATCAATAAATTTTTTATGTACATGAATCACGTGATTTCTCTGAAAATCTTTTCAAGTCTAAAGGAACCCTGAGATTTGTTTTTATCATTGAATTTTCTCGAAGTTGAATATTTTTGTGTTTTCTTAACAAATAGCTTGTAATGAAACAAAACGTGGATCAAATAAAAATAATTATTTTAAGAGATCAGACCTAGCTCAAATAATTATACTTTTAATTTGTCTTTTGCTTATAAGTTCCATTCTTAATCAAAAGCTACAGTTTCCATCAATAATAACAGAGTTTCACGACATCTATTACTATACGGGCCTGTTGGATAGGCCCTTTTTTCCACGGACTTTTGCCATATTTGATGGTCAAAACTTTCCATAGAAAATATTTTCCTCCCACCCTCCACGTGGCCCCTTTTTTCTTGTTTTTGTTGAATTGGTTTTTCCATTACTTTGGTGGGAAATGGTTTCCAGTTTTTTTCTTTTTAGCAATGAAAACAAATTTTATGGATAATTGTAAAAAACTTTTCCTTTAATGGACAATGTCCAAGAAAAACAAAATCAAACGAATACTAAAAGATCCAAAATTTCAACATTTTTCAAGTAGAAAATTATACCAATCAGACACAATTAATTGATAATTCCCAGTAAAACAATTATGGGCAATTCAATTCCCTATAATTCATTTTCTTTCTACATAAATTCCACTCTTACAATCAAACGAACCCTACATATTGCAGAGATTTCATTGAAATGATTCGATCAAACGTTTTTTTTTCACTTGGTTAGGGCCTTTTGACGGGTTTTATCGTATGTATACTTATCACATCGACCACGGGTTGTCACGTATGTAACAGATTTGAAAAGAAGTTCTCTGAGTTTGTGGTTATTTCGAAACCCAATCCCACTGATTTTTTCAAAGTGACTTTCCCAAACTATGATATTTATATGTT